AAATGCCAAGAAGACTTGAGAACCTTTCTATTGTGCTGCCGATAAATCCACATTAAACTTCGAACTTTGTGTCACATTCAGTTGTATCGTTCGGACACGGGTAAATACCCTAATACGAGTAAAGTTCTAGCTTATAAATAAAATGTTTGTAGCTTGTTGCCACCACATCAACCGTTATAACAGAATTTGAATACTATTCGACGATTCCACTTTCTGGGTCGATAACAGTTGCGCCACCCTGAGTTAGTCACGTGGTATGTTTTGTTACCCCCACCAAAAAAATTCTTTTTAAAGTACTCATAATTCCTAGTTGGCAATTTGTTTCTTTTGCTCCCTCCCGCCACTGACTTAATGAAGGGGTGTAACACGCGATATGGAGCAGTTGTAGCACAGTTTTTTGTTGGCGGCAGACGCCTGGGGACTATCGATTTTCGGAAATCCGAGGTGTTTAATGCTGATATTAAAGAAGCGAAATATGACACCTAACCTTTTATGTACGTATGTACTTGTAAAATCGGTGACATCTGAGTTGATTAAACTTCAACAGCCAGTAAAAAATGAACTGAAAAGTTTTAGTTCTTTATCCTCTTTTATAAGCTTTTTTACTTACAAGCCCCAGAACCTATAAGAAAATCGGTCATCTCATTGAAAGGAACAGAGAGGATTATCCATTTAAATCGTCTTGATTCATCTCTACAAAGAAGCTTTCGGTCCTGGTTTGAAATCCCTTAAGCATAAAAAAAAACAGATCTGCTTATATTTAAATGTTTATTAAAGAGAATGAAATCCTTTTATAAAGCAAATGCTTCGTCTGACTGAGAATCACAAAGTAATGACCACTAAACTTTCTAGCAATGGCTTCTGAAGTTAAACATCATCCTATATATCTCTTATGTAGATATTTATTAAGAGGTTATTCGAGTACAGGACGACTATAGCGGAATGTCCAATGTGGCTTTAAATCAACTACACTGACGAAAGCCTGACAACTTAACTTGCTAACCACTGAATTATAACAGGCGACCAGTTTCGTATTTGGAAAAATTGTTTAGAGTTACAGAGTTTGTTTAGCGGCATATCAACACCTTATGGGTCATCTAATGTTGAAATTTAATATTCTTGGGAATTCTTGGCATTAGTAATTTTTACAAAAATGTATCGCTGGTAATATTTTTTCTTCAAAAATTGTATTGCTGGTAATTTTTATTTTTTAACAAGAATGTATTGCTGGAAATATTTTCTTTTTTTTTTTTTCCGAAAAATGTATTACTGGTATTATCTGTGTTTTATATATTGCTGGTAATATGTTGTTTTGGGGGTTTTTTTGGGATTTTTTTTCAAAAATTTATTGCTGGAGATATATTTTTTTAAATGTATTGCTGTTACTTTTTCTTATTACGAAAATGTATTGTCGGTATTTTTACTATAAAAATGTATTTTTATATTTTCATAGTGTTTTGACGCCAACTTGAAGGTTAACTATTTGCCCATATTTGGGACCCAAACAGGTGCTACCACCCTGAGTCATACTCAGGACGGAAGTTGTTTAGAATAAGTTATCTTTAAATAATAATTAATGAACGCGTTTAGAAGTCACTAAACTCTCATTTATAGACAACCGTTTTCTCAGGTCAATGATTAAAAATGGACTTTTATGAATGACTCCTGTGAGTCTCAAAGAGAATTGTCCTTCATCGAATCCCAAAAACAATATTACGCCTATCGGCCTGTGCATTCGAAAAAAAAAAAAAAAAAAAAAAAAAAAAAAAACGTAATAAAGAAAATGTGCTCTCCGGCAAGGTTCGAAACAGCGTCTCTATTTACCCTTTTAAATAGAACCTTGTTGAACTGTGATGCTCTCTGTGGCTGAAATAAGACGGTGATTTCTTCTACACTGTGCTACGCAGGTTCGAAACCTAACAAAGAGAACATTCCCTTTATTAAGTTTTATCGAACGTTGCAGGCCGGTAGGCGTAATACACACTGTTAAAAAAAAACGGAGCGTCTATTTCAAACACGGGTATCCACCAAAAATAACGTTTGAAATAATAATAAAAATGTCGGATTAAAAGCAAATTTATTAATTTGTTAGAAATTGCTTTGTTTACGTTTTTGGGATGCGAATTCGAGCAGATATGGGCTTTCAAGAAAATCTGAACAAAGGGATGTGCATTCCTTAAATGGGTAACTAAACCCTTGCTGGACCGTGATGCCATCTGTGGCCAAACGGGTCTAAAGCACAACGGTTCAGACGGTGACTTCTTCTACAAAAGAAGATGCAGGTTCGAACTCTGCCAGTGAGCGCATTTTCTATATTAAGTTTTCTTGAGTGCCTAGTCTAGTAGACGTAATATACACCGTAAAAAACATGGCATCTATTTCAAATCCTGTTACCACTAAAAATAGCGTTTGATGTATTTTTTTTAGAAAAATTGTGTGTGTTTGTATATATATAAGGAAAACTTATCTTAGCTGACGCGTTTCGTCCTCTGAGCGATGTTATCAAGTCAAATGTAAGGATTTTATTTTGTAACAAATCTTTATATACAAGAGCAGAAATTTTATTGGCTTTTTCAAAATGTTTAAAGTTAAGGACGCTCATAAATATTCATCAGGTTTGCCTAGATTTTTCAACTAATTTGATGAACATGTATGATCGTTCTTAACTTTAATAAATTTGAAAAATCAATAACATTTTTGCTCTTGTACTTAAATACTTGTTACAAAATAAAATCCTTACATTTGACTTAATAACATCGCTCAGAGGACGAAACGCGTCAGCTAAGATAAGTTTTCCTTTTGTCTTTATTCATACTGTTCTTTAAAGATATACTCCATCTGAAATTTTACACATGCATGTATGTATAATTATCGTAAAGAAGTAAATCGAAAAATGCTGACAGGTTATCGTCCATTACGCTTCCAATTTAAATTGATTACTAGGAACCACGAATAAAACAAGAGAAAGAAACAAAACGCAGCATGTTCACAAACAACATTTACACATAAAAGCCATTCCTTCTACTTACAGAGGGAGGGCTGCTCAGACTTAATACATATCGTCTTTGAAATTTTTAAGTGAAAATCTGAATGTGCCTTAATCATGTCCTTACTGTAGGATGAAATACAATGATGCTTATATAATAAATGCCTCGCTGTCGTAGTCCTGGAAATGTTGACGTACCTATGAACATTATCACATTGCCCCTTACATATGCTGATTGGTACATATTGACTTATTCTCACTTCCAACCTCTGACTAATTCTACCCATATAGTCAGCGTTACGTTGATATTTAAAGTGATCAATTACTGAACTAATATGGTGGCGAGGAAAAACATCTTTACCGACAATACATGAATTAGTAGACAAGTATGAAATTTTCGTACTGGCAGAAAAAACAACTTTGCACACAAATAATAGTTTTAACTGGCTGGTGATCTCAGTAATAGATTTGCTGGCAAATTTGCTGGGCAAATATCGTACTAACATCACCAATACCCTGTATACACTAATTAATTTGCACGCACTTTATATGCAAAAGCTCTATTGGAAAACTGTGAATAAATTGCAGTTTTAAATTTTATAACAATTATTGGCTGTTTATATACTATTTTGATTATGGCTATACCTAATTAATTGCACGCAACTCTCTGGTTATTGATTTCAAGAACATCTGCCTGAAATCAAAGATCATAAGATCGTGTGCATGGTCATGCTTAATCTTTCTGTACGACTGCAAATCATGAACGCTAATAGCAGAATTGCAGCGAATAATCCAAGCATTAGAAATGAGATGATACACAACTGCATCAAAAATGACGCAGTGTGAGACACCATTATTTCACCCCCAAGGTAGGCAATAAAACACTACGACGGAAGGGGTTACTGAGTGTGAGAGTATGAGAAATAAAACCAAGAAACAGACCTATAAGACCTAACAACTGTTTTACTGTCATACTACAAGGTAAACTTCTTCTTCTTCTTCTTCTTCTTCTTCTTCTTCTTCTTCTTCTTCTCCTTCTCCTCGTCCTCCTCCTCCTTCTTCTTCTTCTTCCTCCTTCTTCTTCTTCCTCTTCCTTCTTCTTCTTCCTGCTTCTTCCTCCTCCTCCTTCTTCTTCTTTCTCTTCCTTCTTCCTCTTCCTGCTTCTTCCTCCTTCCTTCTTCCTCCTTCTTCCTTCCTCTCCTTTCCGTGACACTCCAGGACGTAGGCGAGTATGGCTCTCTTGTCCTGCCTTCTATGTAGGTTATGCATTACTTTTCTCTGTTGCCTTCAATCTGTCCTGTGAGTATCAGATTTTACAAGCCTTCTTTCCGCATTATGTGCCCTAGAAATTTCAACTGTCTATCCATAATTGTGAAGTATAAGCGTCCTTTTTGTTTCCATTTTCTCTAAAACTTTGTTGGTGCTCACATGTTCGATTCAAGATATTCTCAGAATCCTTCTGGATAACCCCATTTTTGTTGCTTCAAGTCTCTTCTTCATCTCTGATTCACTGCCATATAGGAGGACTGATATTACGTAAGAGTTCAAAGTTCTTTTCTTTGTTTCTCAAGAAATTTTTCTCTACTTAGCTTTTGGAATGCACCTTTGGCTGTGAGAAAAATAGGCAGACAGAGGGGAAAATAGTCGAACGACGTCAGTGAACTGGAAAATCATTCGTAGAGACTAAGATATTGGCACGCAACCAAGACATATGGAGGGAGCAGGTCAGGTACTCAGTTGTCCACCGACCCTCCGACAACACCCGATTATGATGTCGATTATGGTTATGATGACTAATTACTAACGCCGCTCGAAGGTAAAACTAGTCATAAAATAATAACTGGTACTTGTTCTATTTTATATGATGCAAAAAGGTCCACCAGTCACTGGCGAGATGTTGATATTATTTATATTTATTGATATCTTATCAATATCAAACTATCTGGAGACTTTGCTCGCTTTATGAACGAAATATCCTACAAAATAAGTGGCATAATTGCTTTAATAGAATTAAGGCCATATCACGTTGAAACATTGGTTCCTATACGATCCTCGAACTTAAGCAACCTTACGCCTAGTCAGTACCTAGCTGGGTGACCGCTTGGGAATAACAAGTGCTATCAGGTTGGATGTGAGGGTGGTGTGAAGACTCAGAATTATTGATCAGATAGCCGAGTTCCAATTCCAGTTGGGTTCGTTATATTCACTTACGCGCAAATACCCTTGAGCAAGGTACTAGTCCAACTATTCACCCTGCGGCTATAGGTTAATTAGTAAGTCTCATATCACTAAACCATTATTATCTAAAAAGAAAAAATTCTTAGAATCTAAAAATATTTTCTGGATTTAAAAAACCTGCAAAGGGTTGATAAGCCGTAAAAAACGAATCAATCAAAAATAAAAAATAAAAAATATTAAACAGCTAAAAAAAAAATAGTAGATTAATTTATAAATCTAATTTAAAAAAAAAAAAAGAGTAAATATTATATTATATTTTTGTTTTAATCATTTAACTCAAGCAAGGCAATAAATACACTACGACGCAAGGGGTTACTGAGTGTGAGAGAATATAAGAAAATAAACATTATTAAGGAGAGAGAACAATAAAAGAAGATGAATTAAGATAGATATCGATTGACATTATGTTTAAATTTTTAATAACCTGTAACGAGTTGATAAAAACCGTAGAAAACGAATCAGTCAAATTCATCTAATAATAATGTTAATTTCAATTATATATATATATATATATATATATATATATATATATATATATATATATATATATATATATATATCGGTAATTATTTTTAAAAAGTTTAATGTCAACTAATATAAAAAGGTAAACATTTTATGGGCTGTTATACTTATGCAGGATACGAGTAAAGTCTGCCACTTTCTTTCAGAAAAGAGCTGAAGGTCTTAGAGAATTAATAAGAAAATCTCCTAGAAGAGATGCACAAGATAAAAAGTACTATTTTGACTTCGTTTGACATGAGGAAAACAACGGAGGGCGCTTGTGTGCGCTTTTTTATACGTCAAGCCGGATGATATTTGTTTTAGGATCCCCTTGGCTTTGGATAGGAAATGAAAAATGTTCCTATTTGTTCTTCCTTTCTTGAAATTTCCTTTTTTATTATTATTATATTGTTTCTACATCTGTAGATTACTATTTTTAATTTTTCTTATTCCTCTGTCAGCTTTATTTTCTTTCTCTTCTCTACGTTTTCCTCTATTCATTCTTTATTTCCTTATTCTTTCATTCGCCATTGATAATTTTATTCATTTTTCTTTCATTCTATTAATTCTTACTAAATTTCTTCATTCTTTTAAAATTATTCTTATTTCGTTTTTCGTTTCGTCAATAATTTTGCCCTTTTTTATTCTTTCTTTATTTCCCTCTTTCTTTTCTATTCTATTCTTGTATTTTTTCTGTCCTATTCTAGTCTATTTCTATTCTATTGTTCTTTCGTTTGCTATTCGATTCCATTTCTTACTAAATTTCTTCATTCTTTTAAAATTATTCTTATTTCGTTTTTCGTTTCGTCAATAATTTTGCCCTTTTTTATTCTTTCTTTATTAAAAATATTTTCTTTTCTATTCTATTCTTGTATTTTTTCTGTCCTATTTAGTCTATTTCTATTCTATTGTTCTTTCGTTTCTATTCGATTCCATTTCTTACTAAATTTTTCATTCTTTTAAAATTATTCTTATTTCCATTTTTTTTCGTTTCGTCAATTTTTTGCCCTTTTTATTTTTTTTTATTTCTTTTTTTTCTATTCTATTTTTGTATTTTTTCTGTCCCATCCTAGTCTATTTTTTATTCTATTGTTCTTTCGTTTCTATTCGATTCCATTTTTACTAAATTTCTTCATTCTTTTAAAATTATTCTTTTTCGATTTTTCGTTTCGTCAATAATTTTTTTTTTTTATTTTTTTCTTTATTTCCCTCTTTCTTTTCTATTCTATTCTTGTATTTTTCTGTCCTATTCTATTCTATTTCAAATTCTATTGTTCTTTGTTAAAAAAAATAATTCCATTTAAAAATATTTATTATTCAATTCTTTTTTTTTTTTTAAAATTATTTTATTTCTATTCTATCCTTTTTGGTTTTCTTTTTATTCTTTCTATTCTGTTTCTATTCTATCCTTGTTTTTCTTTTTCTTTTCTATTCTATTCTCGTTTTATTCCTTTTCTATTCTATTCTAGTTCTATACTATTTCTATTCGTGTTTTTCCTTTCCCATTCTATTCAAGTTCTATTCATTTCTTGTCTTTTTTCTTTTCTATTCTATTTTATTTATATTCTATTCTACTTTTTTGTTTTTTAATTTCATATAGTATTCTATTTCTATTCTATTCTACGTCTATTCTATCTCTATTCTTGTTTTTTTTTCTTTTCTATTCTATTCTATTTCTATTCTATCTATGTTTTACCGATTCTATTCTATTTTCTTTCGTTTCTATTTATAATCCATTCTTGTTTATCCTTTTTTTATTCTATTCAATTCTACTTCTATTCTATTCTACTTCTATTCTATTCTTTTTTTCTCTCTTTCTGTTCTAGTTTATTTCTATTCTATTCTTGTTTTTTTTCTCTCTTTCTGTTCTAGTTTATTTCTATTCTATTCTTTTTTTTTTTCTCTCTTTCTGTTCTAGTTTATTTCTATTCTATTCTTGTTTTTTTTTCTCTCTTTCTGTTCTAGTTTATTTCTATTCTATTCTTGTTTTTTTTCTCTCTTTCTGTTCTTAATTTATAGGAAATTCTATTCTTGTTTTTTGAAATTCTTTCTGTTTAGTTTTAATTTTTATTCTATTCTTTTTTTTTTCTCTCTTTCTGTTCTAGTTTATTTCTATTCTATTCTTGTTTTTTTTCTCTCTTTCTGTTCTAGTTTATTTCTATTCTATTCTTGTTTTTTTCTCTCTTTCTGTTCTAGTTTATTTCTATTCTATTCTTGTTTTTTTCTTCTTTTAAATTCTATTTCTATTTTTATTCTATTTCCATTCTGTTCTATCCTCGTTTTTCTTTTCTAATCTATTTTATGCGTTTTATACTTTCAGCCTTCAAACCTAACTACTTTCTTCATTCTTTATCTTTCTAGCTTTCAAATTAATTTTCCATTTTTATTTTTCTTGTCTAAAAAAGCCTTCAAACGCATTTTCCTCGTCTATCCTTTGTCATATTTTCAGCCTTCAAAATATTTTCCTACTCCACTTTTAACATTCAAAATCCTTTTTTCGGTCTATTCTGCCAGATGAAAGAGCGAATGTCATGCCTATAACCATTGAACTACCGAAAACCTCGCAAAAAGTTAGGGTCAATTGGAAATGTGAAGAATCGAAACGAATATCGACTTTATGCGCAATAAACACATGCATGTAGGCCTCCGTCGGTCAGCATTGTCCATGGGTGGCATCCTAGTTATCTACTTGGCTGGAGCATCGACGTCTGTGACTGTAGAAACCGATTTGGGAGTGACAATCTTGTTGCAGAAATGTTGTCTTCTATCTCTGGTCTGTTGGAGCTGTCACTTTGCTTTCTGCGGGCCCGCCTTTCCGTAATTTTTAGATTTTTTTGCGTCAGCTAAGATACTTCCCCTGACTTGAGGTTTTTGGTCAGGGTTAGGAAGTAAAAAAATAATGAAATGCCAGGCTCTCCCAGGACTCTGTGTTGATGCCTCACAAATCTTTCATGTCAGGCCTCACGACATCGAAAAATACGCCAAAATGGTGCAGATTTTTTTTCCTTCTTCTTCCAGAGGTCAGCTCTCCATACAGGAACACGTATATACAATAAGGCTCATGGGCCTTGTATTGGGTTAACAATTATAAAAACGATAAATGGTTTTTAATAAAATTTTTTGTGGTTCTTAAATACCTCCAGTCCATTATATAGAGAATAATTCTCAGATCCACAGACTTCCCAACATCTAGTACATTTTATCAATCATTAGAGTTTGTAATGAAATTTCTTAATCAGGCCAAGAACATTTAATTTTTTGCAGATTAAAGTTGGCTGGAAAGCATGGAGCCGGAAGGGAGTTCCACAAGAGAAGTGTGCGGAAAAGAAAAGAAACTGTTAGAATATAGAATTTACGGCTACATCTAGCTAGCTCAACTGTAAATTGATGAGATCTCGCCCGCCAGTCTAGTATTGCTGTTTAAATTCAAAAGTCTAGGTACCATAGCGAAGAGCTCATCCGAACAATTACCATAAAAGTATATATATATAAAGGCACAAAGAGGCAACCTTACGGCGGAGGGCTTGTCACTGAAGCCGAGCTGCCAGATCAGGACCAATAATATTGCTGGTTTTTCTTTGGATCTTATCAAGGAGCTCCAGAAAAAATAGCAGGGGCACCGGACCATATATGGCAGCAATATTCTAAGCATGGACGAATGGTAGACTTATAGATATGCAAGATAGATTCAAGAGAGAAAAATTGTCTAGCCCGACACAGTGAACCGACTTTCTTAGCAGCTGACCTAGCAATGGATTCAATATAGTCTTTCCATTTCATGTCAGCTGAGAAGGTTAGCCGAGAAGGCGCAATGAGTCACTTTTCTTGGAGGATAGCATCAGCCATGCTGATGGAAGGCAGAGAGGGTCTCTCAGATGATTAATGGAGAGAAGTTTAGTTTTGGAGGCGTTAAAATTGACAAGCCATCTTTTGCCCCAGTTAACGACGGTCTTGAGGTAGTTTTGTACATCCGGCTGCCATTTTGACCTTGTTTGACTGATCAGCCTTACTATTGAGGCAGGAGTAAATGGTAGTGTCGTCAGCGTAGATGCCAAGTTGAGAGCTGATGTCATCGGGAAGGTCGTTAATGAAGATTAAAAACAGCGTAGGACCAATGATGAAGCCCTGGGGGACACCCACGTTAGTACGAAAGGATGTAGACGAGTGGCCGTTCAGGACAACTTTCATTTCACGATTTGATAGGAACGACTGGATCAGCTCAAAAATGTGCCCGGAGATACCGTAACTTTTCAGCTTGTGGAGAAGACCTGAATGCCAGACCCTGTCAAAGGCTTTCGAGATGTCCAATGCTACAGCCTGGGCTTCACCGTTTTTATCTAGAGCATGATAGACTCTTTCCGCAATTATCGTTAGTACATCAG